AAATTCCATCAATATTCTTGTTTAGGGAAGGAAAGTTAAAAAAGCTGGGCCGATCACCATATGAGTTTGCTCTTACACAAATCAAGCCGCTGTTAAATTGCTCAGGCATTCAGGATTTTTGTTACCTCATCTAATCTCTCCGTTTGTGATTTCAGTCGTGTGACAGTGCTTTTCAGCTCACCATTTTCTTCCTCCAGTTGCTGAACCCTGTGTCAATAACAAAAATATTAACAGCAAATGCCTCTTCAGGAATGCAGACATGCAAAACGGCACGCTCTAAAAAGCTGTTTCACTTGCACTTGATAGAAAGACCAAACAAACAAAAATCTTCTATCGTAGCATTTTTTTCTCATGAGCTATTGGGTGCTTTTTGTTTGTTTGTTTTTAGGGCCAAAAATGCTACGGTGACCCTCAGATTCTTACACTCCTAACAGGTACCTAAAAAGAATTAAGTAGGAAGAAACAAATGCAGGCACAATTGTTTGCTACAGCTGGTCACAATTCCCTCCTTGAATCCATGCCAAATGTCCAGCTAAGCTGTCTACACGGGCCATGTGGATTAAAGCATTAATGTAAACCATCCTCCAAGCTTTTGGGCATTAGACATGCAACTGCACAGCTACTCTATAGAACTGCTAACCTGTAACCATCTGTGCACTGTCTGGTTGTGAACAGCCTATGTTTACATGCAAAATAAAGATGAAGAAAAGAAGAACTTGTACGCTGTTCTGGGTGGCACCATGCTTATTACCTTGTATTTAGCAGTTCAATTTCGGTGCCTTTCTCTTTTTCATATTTGCTGTATGCTTCTCTGTGTCTCTTCATCTCATCTTCCAGGGTCTGTTCTGCTGATGTTTCTTGGTCTTTCAATAGTTCTTCTAGCTCATGAACTCTAAGAAAACCAGATCTCATTTCAGTAACAGCTTCACAAGTACTTTAAAAAAACCCCAAAACTGTGCAACTTCATTGCTTCCTCCTCATTCCTTTATTTCATTCTACTTCACCATCCCTCTTGGCATTTAACCTATCCCAGTATCTCTCTTGGTATTTAGTCTTCCCAATAAGCACAGAATTAAGTAGTATCACTTCACCTATTATTCTTTCATTCTCAGTCTCAAGAAGTTGGGACTACGACCCAGCCTCCTGCTCTTGTTCCATACAAGAAAAAAATCCAGTGATAACCTTTCTTACAATGGAAGAGCTTGCTCTATACAAATGAGTAACATCTCTGTACTAAGAAACTTAGAAGGCCTCTGCTTGCTGCAAATTCAGCAAGGCAGCCCTATTCCACTTGGACTTCTCAGATGAAGACTTTTGTCTGTCAGCATTAAGGCAGAAGACTTGGTCATATTTTAGAAGTAGAGATGTTCCTTCCCTCTTAAGTTTGTTCTAGCTCTGCTCTGACATGATAAAGAGAACTAGCTCCGTGCTTTATTACCTGTGAACTAGCTGTGTGTTCTCTTGTTTCAGTTTGCTCTTCAGGTCACCATTTGTCAGGCTATCATTCTCCAGTTCTGTCACCTTTTTTTCTAGGTACATTACCTGGAAGTGGAAGAGAACTGAGAGTTTGAATCTCTCTTCCGAAACCCCTTCACTCTTTCTAATGATTATTTAGCTATGCTAACCTTTTGAAAGGGGGCATACCTCCCTGCAATGCCAGCAGCAAAATTAAGCTCTGAAATTCTGAGTTCCCCAGACGCTGCATCTTCCTTGAAGGTGATCAATGCAAATACACAGCAAAGAAGCACTAATACAATGCCTAGATCTGTACTTGCACAGTTCTTGCATTTTTGTGAAGCAAAGTCATAATATTAATGGAATATCAGAGACATTTTGAATGAGCTACTTCAGATCACTGGTAACTGTGAGCAAGAGAGGTTCATCAATTGATGCATGTCTCCAGCAGGATTTTGTTGGGTACACTAATTGCAATGCACACAGCTTCTCACCTTTTCAGTTATATCATTATCACAGGAGTCTATACTGTCTCTGAACAGGTCTTCTGTGCTGCCATTACTGCTGCTGAAGTTACTGTTGTGGAAGAGTTGTCTGAAAGATCAGAAGGATAATATTTTGCTTGATGAGGATGGAGGAAAAAGAGTCTGGCTACTGTCTTATAGCCTGGCTTTACACTTTTGAGCATCCAACGCTAAAATCTGTGCAATCATTTCAGTGACAATCACAACTATTTAAGCACAAGTCTTACAAGAGACTGATGCTAAATGAAATCATACTGAGCACAGTCAATGGCATTAGTTCTACGGTGCTAGTTCTTTGTCACTTTTGATAGGATCTGCCACCAGCATTAACATAGTTTAAAAACTACTTAGTCTTACTCACAGTACGTACAGAGTTGTATTTGCTTTACTAGAAATTTAAAATAAAGCCACCACTGCGCACTGATTAGTACAGCTAATCTAGAAAGTTTCATCCAGTAAGACCTTCTTTAAAAAACAGGGGAAAAAAAAAAAAAAGAAATCTCAAGCAGTTCCTACCAGAATATTTAACACTGGAGATTATCTAAAATATTCTTGAAACTTATAGCCCTCCCCAGCCCAGGGCTGGTTCATTCAGTCAAAGGAAGGTCACAATTCTGTATGTTCATTTTTTTAAAGGGATGCTCTTGTTTTCCTTTGCATTTCAGTGGCAACAACAACAAAAAGGCCCACATTATGAGGGTGAAAGAAGCAAGAGCGGGACCAATGGAATAGCAGCATAAAAGAAGAAAGTTGGCAGACAAGGAAGCAACTATCTATGCTTCTTAACAGAGCTCTTTGCAGTATAGGGGCCTGCTCCAAGACTAGCAGTGGCTTCTATATTCTATTATATCCCGATCCAAATACAGGCTACCTCCCTTGAAAACTTGTCTTGGCACTTTTTTTTTTTGTTTTCCTAAACTTATTCCTCCGCTCTCTTCACACCCCCACTTATGGAATTGTTACAGCTGATTCCACATGTATTAATAAAAAAAGTTGAAGATTCTTACCTTCCAAAAGCTGTACTTGATATTTTCCTGTTAGGGCTACATGGATACAGAAGGAATAATAAGGGAATTAAACACTCATTTGATCAGTGATGGATTCAATCTTAATTTAAAATCCAGCTGAATTGTACAATGAAACGTAATATTGACTTTTTTAGTGACGTAAAAAAAAATGATTCTGTGAACAATATTCTTACACAACTTAATATAAAGCTGCTGTTACCAACAATGTGAAGATGAGTGAAGCTACAAATTACCATGAACATTAATAAATCTATTTGTAAATACTGTTATATTTAGCAGAGATTTGTCAGCATAAATCAGAGTGAAACTAACATTAGAAACACCACAAAGGGACACTGAGTTAGTGATGGACATTTATTCCAGATTCCCAGTTTTTAGATGATTTTATGAACAGCTAAGTTTATCCTTCCCCATAACGTTTCCCAGTTCAGCACAGGAACGGAGATGCTTTCCATTTTTGCAGTTCCCTTTTACAGCCAGAGACTAGTATTATCTAAATGAAGGACCAGACTCCAGACAACAGCACTGGAACCAAATAAAAATATCCAGCTGTACCTCTCAATAAGAGGATGTCGCATCTCTGTGTGCACACAGACACACAGCTCTTTGTCAGAGCATCGCTCTCTTTCAGCCAGGTGTATACAGCCTCACTCATAAAATTACCAAAGCCCTAGCTGGTCATGGTCTGCGTGTTAGCAGACTCCTTGCTAGGGCAGGAACATTGTTCATACCAAGTACTATGCCGCTACGTCATCAAGAGAAGAATCAATGCAGTGCACTCTGTGCCAAGGATTATGCAGGCAGGCAGGATTTACATTCAGTTTCTAGGGGGAGCTAGAAGCCCACCAAATAATTTCCTTCAAAAAACCTAGATGATTGTTGGAAGCACTGGATTCTTTCCAAGTGCTCAGCACAGCTTAGAAGTGGATGAAGTGGCAGAGATGGAAATGTAAGGAAAAAGCTGAAATTGCAGAGAACCCCAAAAATAACTTCTGCCATAGGATTCATCCTTTTTCCAAGTTCCCCTGAGGATGAAAAAAATCCCAGAGGAATGAAGTACCTCTGCTGACCAATAGCTTTAGGAGAGGTGTATGTAAGGTTACATGCATTAGCTAAGGATCTGCCAGATCACTCCTTCCCACCTGGAGAAAACAGTAGCTAACTGTAGATCTGCACTAAGCAGCACAGCAGATCCTACTTGCTGGGAAAAATTCCTGGAAATACCACTCTCACTCCGCAATCAAAGAACTCTTGGTTAAAATATTTCAGTTTATTAATGCCGTCTGCACCTTAAGTCAGAAAAATACTTACTAGCTAATGAAGAACAGCATTTTGGTTCAGGCTAGATGTCAAGGTCTGAATTTCTTGCACATATGTTGCTCTTACAAAACAGTAAGAAAGACAGAATGGGATACAGGGAA